GCTCTGTGAAAGCCATGGCCTGACCTTTGTTGCAGGTTATGGGTGCAGCGCTGGTGGTGGGTGCCGCTCCTTTCAGAGCCTGCCTTCCCTCAAGATCAAACGTTTCGACTCCCGACCCCCCCAGCTCTGACCCACGGCACTGCCCGGGGTGCCAGCCCCAGCCCAGGGAGGATGCCGGGACCCGCGGGGATGCCAGCCTTGCTTTCATCTCTAGATGGTGCTCTGGGGCCAGGCAACGGCCGGGCTCCTCCAGTTTGTGCCAATCCCCTCAGCCTCCCTAGTTTGTGTCCTGCCGGCGGGAACACAGCGGGGCTGGGGGGGGCAGGCACCCCACCCTGCTGGAAAAGCCTTGTGTAGCCCCTCCAAGAAGTGGCTACCGTGTCGGCCCCTCCTGGTGTGACATCCCCTGGCCGTGGCATACCGTGCCATGGGCGACTGCGTCCGCAGCCTGCCTCCCTATCCATCCCTCTGCTGTCCCCCTTTACCTGCCCCAGTGGGGCTGCCCCCGCTGGCCCTACACCACCCCAGGCTTTCGGCCTCCCAGCAAGCTGCCTTCCCTCCTGGCCCCCTCCTGCACAGCCAGCAATAGTCCGTCCCGGCTTTGCAGATTTAGCACAGGGCCGGTGCCTGCGGGGTTTTCCGATAGTGGTGCTCCATTAGGGCCCAGCTCTGCTCTTACCACGGGCAATGGCAAAAGTCCCATTGACTTCACAGGGGTGAGAGAAAGCCCTTAATGGCCTGGGAAGGTAAGGCACTTTTTTTCTTTTTCTTTTTTTTTTTTTTTTGGTGACATTTAAAACCGTGGCCACTTCATACTGCCTGTCCAAAAACTGGGAGAAACCTCAGGCCCTCCTGCAAAGGCAAAAAAGGGCTGCTAAAGCTCAGAGTGAGCAGAGAAGGCATTTTGCTGCACAGAGGTCATGAGCCTGAGTGCAGCTGCTGGGGCAGTGCCCTGTGCCCTGCTCTGCTCCTGGGCAAAACCTGGACGAAATCCACCTGATTGGAAAGGAACGTGTCTATTCAGCAGCACAGACATTTTCAACACCATTTCCTGATCATGGAAATCCAAACCCATTTTCTCCTCGTTTGAGATTATTGTTGTGTTTCTTGAAAATATTTTTAGTCACAGCGTGTATCATAATGTTTTGCTGAGCAAGTTTTGGGTGAGTTGAAAGGTGCCAATGACAGTTTCTTTTCAAAAGGGTTGTCCAAAAGTGTCACCAAAAATAAAACATGAACAAGTTTCTCAAGTGTCATTTAAAACCACAAAATTAATCTGAAAGCTGGCAAGGGTGACAGCAGCATAGTTAGTTGTCATAGGGTGGAGGATCTGAACCAGTGCCTGGATCTTATTCACAGGGAAAAAGTCCTTCCTCTCCCCATTATCTATCTGGTATTTGAACAGCTTTCAATAACAAGCCAAGGAAATCATCCAGAAGTAAGTCAGGAAAGAATTAGAGGTTGTGGGCAGATAAACAAAGAAGTGATGTCTTCCTTCTCAAAAGCGAGCTGCCAGCCCCTCGGGATTAGGGGCAGGTCTTGGGGAAGGAGTCCCTCCGTCAGATCCTGGAGGAGGGAGGAAGCCCAGGGACATTGTGCCTTGGTGTGCAATAGAGGTGCCTTCTCTGGAGAGCACAGGATGAGAAAGTGTCACCTACCTGAAAGCTGATGCTCCACATATTGTATGCAAAAGCCAAAATATCAGGTGTGTTTACAGTTGTGAATGGCTAGGAGAGACGATTTGCAGACTCCTTAAAAATGTCCAGTCTTCTTCTTTACAGCAAACAGCTTTCCAAGGTGGATTCTCCCGGTGGCTCGTCATGGGCTCCATAAAGGAGTCCCCAGCATACAGCCAGAGAAGCGCTTGTGGCAATGGATGCTGCTGTCACAAGGCATTTGTGTGTATGTTGTTGGGTGTTTATGGGATGAAGTTGTGGTATAGGATGGGTTATGCCCCTGTGTGTGACGTACATGTGTGGGTACGTGCAGTGTGTACTTGGGCGCAAGTACTCTGCGATTTGAGCGTGCGGGTACAGAAGTACCTGTGCAGAAGAATGTACGTACCGCTGTGTATCAGCAAGGCCTGTGAGCGCATGTGCAGCTTGCAGAGGCAGAACAGCACGTTTTAGTGGGGCAAGTGACCGCATCATGCCATCAGGTGGGCTATGTGTGCCTGAGGAACGTGACATTTTGACAACGTAAGAACAGCTTTGGGAGGAGTGCCTGACAGGAGGAGGTTTACCCATCACCTCCTGCACTCAGGCTGTCCCTCTCCTTCCCTCTGCCCCCTCACCTCCAGCCCCTTCTCTCCCTTGGGTCCTCCTCAGCTCTCTCCGCTCTCTAATGATGTGACAGTGTTGCCAGGTTTCTCCCAATTTTATTGCGAATGGCAGCGGCGTAGCTAGTTTTCACCCAGGCCTTGGTGTCTTCTCCACTGTGATGCCAAATGTGACATGAAAATGGCCAGCAGGTTCAAACATATGGAGGGGGCTGGGATACTAGCATGGCCATAAGATGCTTAGTCCCTTAGCCTTATTGCAACCTTTTCCCATTTTTCCCACAAAAAGCCCTGCCAGCTGAAGCGAGGGGTGGCAGTGCTGGCCTGTGTGCTGCCTCAACCACCCCAGCTGTGCATATCCACAGCCCTGGTGCACCTCAGCTGCCCCATCCTTGCCTGGCTTCCCTGGGCCCTCAATTCTTAGAGATGAGCCTCCCAAGAGCTAACAGGCCATGGGCACTTCATCCCCACCAAGCAGCGTCGTCTGTCTCTGAAGGATGCTGCACCTCGGCAGGGGGGCGCCCAGCCAGGCAGGTTCACCCCTCTTCTGGAGGCCACCACCTCAGTCTGTGTCCTGGATGCCCGTGTCCTCGCACACAGAGTCCTTCTCTCTCGGTCCATTAGTTTGTTTCCACTGCCATGGCCAGTGGCAGGCACCCAGCTCTGAAAGCTGTATTAAAAGCCAGGTCAATACCAGCCCCTGCCTGTTCCCTCTGGGGAAAATAAATAAATAATAAAAGGAGGGAGGGACTTCATTAATTACCAATGGGGAGGAGAGGTGGGTCAGGGACACACGTGGAAAAATGAGTCTGCGTATCAAGTCAGACATGGGAAAAGCCAGGAGGCACCAGGATCCACGAGCTCCTGTCCCCACTTTGTGCCTGATGGGAGGAGACAGAGGCATCAGGAGTGATGCCTTTCCTCCCCCCACCCCGGCCCCTACTGATGCTCTGCTCTTCAGTTGTCTACTGTCTGCTTTGCCCTCATCCTCCCACCAGGTCCTCTTCCCTTCTTGCCAAGGCTTCCCGAAGGCGTCTGGTCACTGCTTGGGTGCAGAGCAAACCCGCGCAGGACAGCTGTCCCCCCACAGAAGCCACATGCCGGGATAAAAAAATGGCCACGTTTGGGTCTAGACCCATCTTGTTTGTCTATCCCTGCTCTTTCTCAAATGCACTCCCATATTACCTCAATTTCTCTTCTTCTTTTTCCCTTCCTCCTCCTCCGCCTGCCTACTGTGCCTGCTTCTTCCTCTCACTCCTGCTATTTCCTTCCTTCCCCTTCTGCTTCTTCCCCCCTTTCTCTTGCTTCTTGAACCAATTCCAAATCGATATAAAGATGCTGTTTTTCTGCTTTGTAGATCAGGGCTTGGGTGGGACATAATTTCTTCAGTCATTTCCCCCATAGCACAACTGTTGGTGCCCAAAGCAGCTTCCTGAGCTACCTGTTTGTCTTTCTGCCCTCACATCATCTGCAGTTTTGAAGGAGTGATTCTGCTGGTCCTAAAGGAAAAGGCTCAGCAGGTTTTCGCGTCTTTTGTGAAATGATAGCAAAGTGATGTTACAGGTCTAGCCCTCATTGATGCCTTCCCTCATTCCATAGTTCTTACTTGCCTCTAGCAAAAAAAGAGGCTTTGGGGTTTTGGGGGTTTTTTTGAGCCTTACATCTAGAGCAACGTCTTGCACATCTCTACCTCTTCATCAAGCATATCTATAACCCTTCCCTGAGCAAAACTCTCGTGATCTCCAAAGCAAGCAGGATTGTTTGACCCATCCTACTGGTAATTTTAATGAAAATGCATCCCTCCCTCCATACGTTTTGAATGATCTTCTCCCTGAGCAAATTCTCTGAACCTCTTATGGTAGGTCTTTACCAGAAAGGACCAGAACAAGGGAGCCTTCGTGGTGGAGCTTCCAGGCACCAATGACATACAAACAGCAAACACCAGCACTAAGAACTCTCATCAGTCTCTATACCAGGCTGCAGCCTTGGGGTCTCTCCTTTGCTTCCAAACCTCCCCCTGGGATATTAGACTTTATTAAAAATAAATAGTTACAAATTCAGTTTTACAGCTGATGGCAGCAGGGAGAAGAACGGAGGAGGTGAAAGGAGCAAGTCGAGGGTCTGCTGTCCAGTCAGGTCACTTTGTCATCCTGGCTGTGCTGTGCCAGGGAGCAGTCTGAGTGTGCAAGCACAGGGCCCTGCCTCCTCTGCCAGGCGTCACAGGAGAGGAGCAGGACATGTTTTTGAAGAGGACTGGGAGAACTGGGTCTGAGTCTGTGGAGCCGAGCTGCTGCTGGAGGTGACAGATGCCAAAAGCCAAAGAGAGCACAGAGTATGCTACGTAGAGCGTCCTTGCCTCCTAGCTTGGCATTTGCAGTGGAAGAATATGGATTTCAGTTCTCTTTCTGTTTTATATACAAAGAAAGAGTCATGTGCAACAAGCAATATACATGCAAGTAAACCCCTCCCTTGAGATCCTTCCCCACTCCCTCCAGGAGTCCTGAACTCTCCCATCCATCCTCATCTGGTCAGTGCTTAGGTATTGCTCCTCTCCTAGTGACGGTCATGACTCTTGACAGCCATCGGCCTACCCACGTCAAGAGGGGACAGAAAGTCTGCTGTTGCCTCAGCAGCAGAAACACTTGTTGTGGGTCCCGGTCTGTCCGTTGAAGGCAGGGACTCCCGTCGCCTCTCCAGAGATGAGAAAACAGGCGTGCTGCTCTCCTGTCTCTGGGTAGGAAAGGGGTCATAGCACAAGCTGCACACACGGGAAGAGCAGTGTATCCTCACTCCTCCTCTAGGCAGTATGACTTCATGGAAAAGGGAGTATATCAGAGCAGCTCCAGGCCTTGAGGTACTCAGGGGCTGAGAGACAGTCACAGGAGGCGTTTTTTGGTGGGTAAGGGACTTATCCAGCTACGTACAGGTGCAGAACGGAGGAGGAGGTGGTGGGTGGCAGGTGTGGAATGGGGAGGCTGGAGGGGTTAGATGGCCGACTCCCTACGGTATGAGATTGTGTCTAGGGGCAGAGTTGCCTGGAGCCGCTCCAGGTCCAGGTGGCTTCCAAAATCCATCATCTGGATGACGCCTCCCTCCTCCTTGGTGCTGCCTCCTAACACCACACCCACTTCATCATCGTCTTCATCTTCATCTTGACTGACAAGAGCCAGCTCATTCTCATAGCAGAAGGCACTGGGAGGTGGGGGAGAAGGTAGGATAGTCATCTTGCTTTCTTGCAGCTCCCGGGCTGAGCAGCAAGGCGTGCCGGCTACCTCGTAGGTCTTATGAAAGCGTGAATAATCCACTTTGTAGTGGTTCTTCTCCTCAAACACAACCGGTTCAAAACGATGACCCCAAAGGATTTCACTAGCAAGGTAAGAGCTTCGTGCCTGTGTGGTCATGGCTGTGGCTTCCACCATCCCCTCCAGGATAACAACAATCTCGAAGTTCTCCGTCTCCAGCTCCTCCTTGCCAATCCCATAGAGCGGGCTCTCCTCATCAATCTCATGAACGATAATAATGGGTGAGACCAAAAATATACGATCAAGGCCCACATCATAGCCCACATTTAGGTCCCGCTGGTCCAGGGGGAGGTATTCTCCTTCCTCTGTCATGTAGGGCTTGATGAGCTGGGCTCGGACATGGGCCTCCACAATATGACTCCTCCTCAGGTTGCCCACCCGCCACATGAGGCACAGTTTGCCATCCCGCACGGAGATGACCGCATGGTGACTGAAGAGGAGGGTCTGTGCCCGCTTCTTGGGCCTTGCCATCTTTGCCATGATAGTACCAATCATGAAGGAGTCAATAACGCAGCCCACGATGGACTGGACCACAACAGCCATGATAGCCAACGGGCACTCCTCAGTCACGCAGCGGAAGCCGTACCCAATGGTTGTCTGTGTCTCCACTGAGAAAAGAAAAGCCCCTAGGAAGCTGTTCACGTGCATGATGCAGGGCTTAAGGAGAGAGGGACCACCTCCCACCACTGGTGCATTGAGGTCACCGTGGAAGAAAGCGATACACCAGAAGAGGAAGCCAAAAAAGAGCCAGGAGACCAGGAAGGCAGCAGAGAAGATCATAAGCATGTACCGCCAGCGTGTGTCCACACAGGTGGTGAAGATGTCAGCCATGTAGCGCTGAGACTTGTTGCTCAGGTTGGCAAAATAGACGTTGCACTGGCCGTTCTTCTTCACAAAACGGTTGCGGTGCTTCCGCCGGGGGGCATGGCCCTTCCCGTTCCGGCTGTGCCCGTTCATGCTGCCCAGTGCAGAGAACTTGTGTCCATCCTCTTCGGTCGAGACAATGCTGTACCTAGAAGAGAAGAAACAGGCATTTCCAGCAGAAATATGCGAAGAATAACAGCAACCACTGAGACAGTGAGGGTGGAAGAATTGTGGGAGGCTCTCAGGGCTACAGTACCCTGTTGCTGAATATCGCAACAGCATGTTTCCCTTGTTATTGCACTATGGTGCCACCCTGACCAAATTGGTGAAGCTCAGCTGCAATATTTGCCATGTCCTGCTGCCAGGAGTTTGTATCTAGCAAAGTCCTGACAGGGCAGCAAAGCAGGAGAAGCTTGCTGTGCTACCTTCCAGCCTTTGTGGTGAAGAGGGATCCAAGGCTTCGAAACCTGACAGCAGCTGGGACAGCTGGGAAGCTTGGAGCAAGCATGCACAGTCTGGCCACATTTTGGCCCTGACATTATGTAAGACCGGGAGTTTCTATTTTCTCCTCTGCTTTCCTCACTGATTTCATGGTGCATTGGCGACAATGTTTATACACTTCCTGTGCTCAGGACAATTCTGTTGCCACAGCAACACGCATGGCTCCTGGCATCCCGCATCCGAAGCCAAAGGTGTAATTTGGAGATCAACAGCCAAAGCGCTGGCAGTTTCCCTGGCAGAAGCTCCACATGCACTTTCTGGGAGATGTTTGCCCCTCCGTCTCCCCTCCCTTGCAGGTGGTGCTGCTGCTGCCCCTCACATGCTGGGACAGTTGCAGATACTCCTTAAAGGCTTGATGGCAGAAGATGCTCTGACCACCGAGGAAATCAAGTGGGTGCACAGACCCATGAAGAACGCTCTGCCCTCATGACCACTGAGCAGCAGTCTCCCAGGACCCCTCAGGCTGGCAGTGTCTCCCTCCCACCCCACATGGGGTTGACATGTCAGCTGGGGCCCTCCAGCATGGACTTTATGACTGCCATCCTTGTCTTACAGCTAGGCAAGCATTGGTGGCTGGAGTTGTGATTCCTGGGGACATGAGGCTTCTGCAGCACTGCTGGAATCTGTAATTTCTGGTCCAGCACCATGCAGCATTTTGCTTCCTCTCCATACTACTTCTCTGAGCACTGCCCCTATGAATGGCGTGTTTTGGATTGGAGAAGAAGAGAGGAGCCATACTTTGGAGCAGGAAAGACCCTGGCAGGCATTTTGAGAAGAATATACCGAAAGGCAGGCTGAAGGCAGGGCTTGAGGGGCCAGATGACAAAGGACGAGGCCACTCGGGGCAGCAGCAGTCCTTGAGAGGAGGGTTACTCACCGGTTGACTCGGACACTGCCCATGGCTCGCTGTATCATCAGGTGTCAGGGGGCCGCAGGAGCTGGGAGGGTGTGGGATCTCATACAGCAGCACTCACATGGGACCAGGCGGCTCCAGGTTTCACCTCTGGCGAGCTGGGACCCGCGTTGCCATTGCAATTTCTCCTGGGCACGTGCCTTGCAGAGAAGGACGAAGCAAAACCCAGTCAAAGCCTCCCCTGACAGCACCCATCCCAGTTCCAGAGTGCAGGGCGCAGGGCTCCCAGCCTTATGCTCAGGAGGGGTCTGGAGATGTCCAGCGGGCACCGTGCTGCAGCCTGGCTTGTGCAGGTGAGGAGCTGACAGACGCAGAGCAGGTTGCACGGCCCGCAGCCCCCATGTTCCCCAGCATCTACCACCGGGAGAGGTGCAGGGCCAGCCAGTCACCACTCTCCAGATCAAGGGCACAAGGGCTGAGCAGCTTGCAGGGCCCTTGCCCTGAGCCATTATATTAATATCATAGCTTACACTAGGACGGGAGCTCAGCCAGGCTAAATACCTCACACACAAGGACTAACGAAGCACAGACATGCACGGCAGCCCTCAGGGTTCCCCATCAACCCAGCATGACCCAGAAGGGATTTATTTCCAGGGGGTGCGGAACATGCCCCCTGTTTCAAAGAGGATTAGAAAAGCGATGGGTAGAGCCAAAAAGGAGAACTGATGGAAAGGAATGGCTTAGGGGTAGCTGAGGAGAAGCCGGTTAGAGCAAACAGACCTTGCGACATGCCCTGTCTATAGCATCCAAGGAGCGGCTCAGCAGCAGAGCCCTGGGGAGGATGTCCAGCAGATGTTACGTCCCGACCCGATGCTCCCCGAACTGAAGAACAGGGAAACTGAAGACTCAAGAGCCGACCTATCCCGCCTGCCCAGATCTGCTGGGAAGTGAAATGCAGTGAGGGGGCAATGACTCACAGATTAGGAAGGGCTTTGTACACCCGTGCTAATCCTGCACTGTAACCTTGGGATTACAGCAGCCGGTACGGAACGCAGGACACAGACAGAGCCAGCTGCTTCACTTTCTCCTAGCCTCACTGATGAGCAACAAGTGGTTGCCATATCTGAGACAAATTCAAGCATTTTGGGGTCAAATCCAAGGTTTAGAGCTGCTTGCAAGTGGTCATGCACAGACAGGAGAGAGGAACGGCAATGATGTTGTCTGGGATGGAAAAGCTGGCGAGAACCATCCTCATCTCATGATCAGTGTTGCAGAACGGGGCTTCACGTGGCTAAGGGTGACCACCAGCTTTCCCCGGTTAGGAGCACAGACTGGAAAGCAGCAAGTAAGGAGTTACAGACATCACCTACGATGTGCAAGCACTGCCGTTGTCAAGTCTGGGGTGAAGATTAACCAGCAGTCTCTCTTCCAGAGAGCAAGGTTACTGAGGCAGTTTAAGCTCTGTGGCAACACAAACATGGTTGTTCAGACCAAGGATATTATGGGACCAGGAGAAGACAGCAACCTTGTAGTCCACGACTCACCAGATAGAGATAAAAGTGAACAGCTGCCCAAAAATTCCCATCAGGAAAAAGTACTTTGGCACTGAACTCTGCCAGCACCCACCCCCTCACCATCATACTGCATCCAAGTCTTTAAGGAGGGTCGGTTTGGCCAAATGCGGGAAATTTTGTTTTGCAGCTTAATAAACCTACAGCAGTGTAATGGATCTGCCTGAGATGCAGCCCTCACCGTGCTGTGCAGTGGTAGCTAGATAACACACCAGTGTTTTGACTGCTGCTGAGTAGGGCTCACACAGCATCAAGGCTCTTTCCCCAACATTTCCCCAGCAGGCTGTGGGTGGTTGAAAACTTGGGAGGGGATATAGCCAGGACAGCTGACCCAGACTGACCAAAGGGATATTCCATAGCACATGACGTCTGCTCAGCAATATAAGCCGGGGAAAACAGGAAGAATGGGGTACATTCGTTTCGCTACACGTACGGGAGCCCTACTTCCCAGAAAGTGGCTGGACATCGCTTGCTGATGGGAAGTAGAGAATATGACATCTTTTGTTTTGCTTTTGCTTCCGTGCGCGGCTTTTGCTTCATTAAACTGTCTTTATCTGACCCACTTGCCTGTTGTTACATTTTCTCTCCCCTGTCCAGCTGAGGGGGTGAGAGCGATAGAGTGGCTTTGGTGGGCACCTGGCATCTGGCCAGGGCCAAACCACTACAGTCTTTTTGGTGCCCAATGTGGGGCACGATAACGGGAGTTTTGTGTTAAGTGTGCTGTAGCTGCAGTAGCTATTAAGTGGCAAATTCCTGTGCAGGTCACGGAGTTTGTTAGTTGC